ACCTTCTCTTTCTGTCCGTTATTGGCCATCTATTCTCTTTTCTTTCCCACAGACGGTGCCAAATTATGTGTGTCAATTTCCGACCACACTGCCAATCAAGCACTCAGCTGGAGAACACTGGCAGAATAGAAGCCCGAACGACCTGTCACAAAAAGAAGAGATTCCGGCGGTGGTTCGTCCACCCGGGGGCACTCCGACGATCAAGTCAGTTATCTCTCAAAGATAGCAAAAGTGCTTAACTCACTATTCAGAGCATAAAAAACATACCTTAGATACATGGGGGTGCCTCTCTTTTATAGCCAACACTTACCTAATCCCAATAGAAGCCTACCTTCAATGGACTTAGGATTATTGCTACTATTGGACTCCCAGTAAGATTGAGATAAACTCTCTAAGAGTCTTATCTTTATCCAAACTGAAGTCCTCTCCCATTCTAGGACTCTTGTCCCTTATCCGCTTATCCCGAATTCCGGTTTCTTCGCAGATAACCTCGGCCTAGCCGAGATTATCTTGGTGTCATGACCAAGACACGTGACACCTCGGTGTCACCTCGGCCACGTGTTGCCATTCAAAAATTATGTCCCAACACCAGGTAATACTCCAATTATAAAAATTAAAAATGTGCCTAAGGTAGTACTCCAATTATAAAAAGTAAATTTTGAGCTATATAAAGTGACTTCAAATCACATCATCTCTCTTTTTTTTACACATTTTTTAATAAAAAGTCAAAAAAATAACTTTTAACCAACTATCTAAAACAACCCTTTAAATCATAATCAATATAATTAGAAGTCACTTTGATCGTGACTAGAGGCGAGACAATAAAATATTGTAATAGGTTGTAATCAATTCAATTTGATAATTTGATAGCTGATTATACAATTAAAGTGAGTTGATCAGGACATCCGGTTGTCGAAAAAGAAAAAAAAAAAAAAATCCCAAGCACTACTAATGTAGCTACTAAACTATTTATTTAACCAACTTTCTAAAACACCTCTTTAGATCATAATCAATATAATTAAAAGTCACTTTGATTGTGACTAGAGGCGAGACAATAAAATATTGTAATAGAGTGTAATCAATTTCAATTGATAATTTGATAACTGATTATACAATTAAAGTGAGTTAACCAGGACATTCGATTGTCAAAAAAGAAAAAACTAAAAAAAAATCCCAAGCACTACTAATGTGGCTATTAAACTATTTATTAGGAGCTAAATGTTTCATAACTAACACTAATTCAAATCATAATCTGCACATGATATGCACTTGAGAATAAGTTACATGCTATAGTTAATATTCATTTGTGTTTTCCTTTACTTAAGGCTCATTATAGATTTTGAATTTCCCATTTTTTTTTTTTTGAGTATTTTTTTTCATAATTTCTGCCTCAAATCAAAGATCTAAACATTTTGTAGTAAACTTTCTATAAAACGATTAAAGATCATGAAAGAGAAGGGAAAATGATAATGTGAATTAAAAAAACTTTATTTTCTTTTCTCTTGCAAATTCTATGAACCAAGTAGAGGTTAATATATACTCATACCACAAAAAATTTAGCTCCAATTAGTTGGGGAAAATGGAACTTTTGTTTCAGTTTACATCTTCCAACAGATGCTGATTAATTTGAAATCCAAATTATAGATATAGATAGATATATGTGCAGACATGATTCTGCAATATAGAGAGTAAGTGCGCTTCGTGGCTGAACTGCTTTGCTTCGGGGGGTGAAGGCTTGCACAAATAATGAACAGTGAGGCTGCCCTACTGAGGTTTGGTCAAAAATCCCTCTGATGGTAAAGTCAGGCCAGAGAGAGAATGGGGAAAACAAGTGTGTAGAGTGGGAGTAATTGAATTCAGATCCTTGTGAAAGGAGATGAGGTTATCTTTTATAGTGAAGGCTTGACTTGCTCCTCAAGTTCATCTCTCTGCCACCTGGTGTCTTTGTCGTTTAGCTAGGCGTTGGAGGAAAGCAAAGACTTTGTTAGCTACTCGAGTAAGCAATTCCGTTATTCGTGGGTGCCATGTGCTCCACACTCGCATGGCATTGGGTGATATGTTAAAGCTCAATTCAGCTTAACTCATTCAGAGTGAGTAGGAGTTTTGAAATCTAGATCATGGACTTACCCACTTCAAAGTGGGGAATAGGGTTAGGGCTAGGCCCATGGCCTTGCCCACTTCGGAGTGGGGAAAAGAGCCAAGGCCGAACCCGTAACTCAGCCCACTTTGGAGGGGGGAAAGAGGCTAGGGCTAGGGCTAGGCCCTACCTCCACTACGTGGGCCCACACGCTGGTGGGCTAATGTGGGGAGTGAAAATCTGTCCCACGTCGGTTTGCTAAGGACTCTTGACCCACCTTATAAAGTGTACCATGCCCACAAACCTCCAAGAGGCCTTTTTAGAAAAGCAAAACCTAGTACAAAGCGGATAATATCTTGGTGCGTGCTCCGACAGTGGGGTGATCTGCAGAAAATATAACCCTTAACAAGTTTTTTCATTTGTTACAAAATGTGGGTTTACTATTGCTTTGAATGATGTCAAGGTGTTCCTTCATTTTCACCTCAACGAAAGAATGTCCTCTTGGACTTCAATGGCAAATGCCATACTGTTGGCCTCCCAAACCCAAAAGAAAAGATGACTAACATAATTGAATGCAAGTAAAGGTTGTGAAATCAATACCCTAAGGCCCATACTAGTTGAATAATTTTGAAATGGTTCTTTTATTGACGAATTACTTTGTTTGAGTTTTCTCATTCACAATATTATTGTAAGTGTACATATCTACCTTTGTTATTGTGGGAGGCTAAAACAAATCAGGCTGTGGCAGAACTGAAAGTCCTGGACTAGTGACAGGAAGGTCACAACGCCAGCAAACTGGAAGGTTAGCCCAGGAAAATTAAGGCCCAGGACCAGACTAGGTCAGGGGAGTTTTAGGATAGAAGAAAGGTGGCAGAAAGCACGCCCAGGAAGGGCACAAACCCAGTCAACTCACGTCTCTCCATCTTAGGCTCAGCCAACTCCTAGAAATCCGCAGCTGGTGGAACATAATCCCTAAAGAAATGGGGTTGATGTGAGGAGTGGAGAGAGACTTAATAACCCATAAATAGCTAGTAGGAGCCAGCTATAAAAGGGGAAGCAATCAGCACCATTGAGGTACACAAGAACTACAACCTGAACCCTATTCTTAGAATCTTGGACCCTTGTTTACATTGTCACTAACTTAGGCATCGGAGGGTCCTCAAGCTGCTCTAGCCACCCCCTTTTACCTTTATCTAAGTGTTTTTCAAGTCAGGAGTCAATTTATATCCGCCCTGTCACCGCCGCAGCCCAAGTGGTCCGATTTTTACCCACCACAGTGAAAAATTAATGAAAAATAAGAGGCCTAGAATTTTTAGTTAAACATGATTATAGTTGCAAACTCATGTTATACAATACATAGAAATTCCAATGTTGAATGAAATCCACTTAACAATATATGTAGATGCGTTTAAGGTACAAGTTTGTAAATGCTGGGCTTGTAATGGAGGCCTTTGTGCTTGAAGAAGTACTTTATTGCTAGAATTGGAAAAATGTCCTGTTTGGCAGGGCTTATTTCCAGCTTAATTTAAGGTATTTTGATGTGTTTGATTCAGCTTAACAATACAACTTATATCTTTTTGTAAGTCAAAAATCAACTTATTCTTTGAGTGGGCGAAGAGAAGCTTAATTTGTTAGTCAAAAATCAGCTTATGTTACAGCTATAAGCTACAAGCTGTTACTATAAGTTATAATCACTTTCCCATAGCTCTACCAAACAGGGCCAAAGAACTCCAACATAATTGTGCTGTAAATTCAGAGCTTCATGTTTAACTTGGTTGGAAGCTTATGCACATTTAGAATCGCATACAATTGTTCTTGATAGGATTGATTTGTTTAAATTATTTAACAATTGCTTGTTTGCATATGAGTTTTACTTCTGAATTTGACACCTGTTCCCTTTGTGCAAGGATATGTGCAGATCTCAACATGTTTAGTTATTTAATTAGTGAGACTGTTTGTAATTAGTGAAACTGCGTAAACATTTAAATAAGCTTAGTTTTTGTTTCCAAACATTTTCATATATTTGCAAATTATGTTGCTATTTCTCTTATGTTTCCATTTCTAAGCTAACCAAAATAACTCACTGAAACAAACTTTTGATCTATGACTTGAAGAAGATATGTTTCTTTTATATTTTTACATTGTAAAGCTATTAGGGAGGCTAAACTTTTAGTTTTGGATAGTCATTGAAGGGGTTTGCTCAATGATTTCTGGTGTGGTAACAAGTGACTTGGAAATTGTAACTTTGTGAATTGTGAGATGCTTTCTGGAGCTGTAGAGTTCTAGTTGTGAACTGATTTGATTTGACTGTGCTTTCTCATCAGCATATCACTGCTGCAGATAAGGATTCTTGAACGCTTGAAATCCAATTGGAGCTCGTCAGCATTATGTCTTTCTTTTTTTAAAACTGAATCTTATGATCCAATATTTGAACTTGAAATCCATCTTTAAATTTTCAATCTATATCATTGGAACTTGTGATTCTTATTAGGATTAAATACACCCTACCTGTTACAATTTTTCAAACACTGATCATTGTCAAAAAATTTTATTGTCAGAATGTCCAAGTGAAACAATACGGTAGAATTGTTTTGATCTTTTTGAATGATTTAGTTTGTTTGGTTCAAATAATTCTTGATGTTTCATCTTTTTTACCTTGCCCTGTCTTGTGCATTCGAGTATCACAATAAATAGCTATGGAGTTACATCAGAATTTTAGGAATTCATATGCCACAAATTCACTTGAACCATAATTTGGGCCATGGGCCAATGCACATGAGTTCATAGAAGGCTGACTCTGATCCTAATGAACTCAAACTCGTTTTGGTTATGTGGACTCTTCCGTCAGTTGAATGTTCTTTTGATGAAATTGAGTTTATATTGTTAGTAAAGTAAATAAGACTTATCTTGTTTTTGAACATAGATCAGAAACATTCGATGAAGTCTCTTTCGATGAATGGGTGGATTTGGCTGAGGCTCCTGCCTTACCGGCAAGTTTGAAGTTGTACAAGGAGCTTCAGGAGATGGGTTTTACAATATTTCTGTTAACAGGACGGAGTGAGATTCAGAGAAATGTCACAGTGAAAAATCTTCAGTATTCTGGGTATAGAAACTGGGAAAAGCTTATATTGAGGTAAGCCGAAAATTTGATGGAAAATACTTATTTTTACTCCTCTCCTAGAAAATTTTAAGTTCAAATAAAGAAGACTCAAAATAGGTTGCTACCCTCCCGGGTAAAACAATTTCTGCAGAAAACATAAAAACTGTCTTTCGCAAAAAATGTTTTCCTATGTTTGGTTGTCACACGAAATTTGATGATGGCAACTACTTCTTTTTATTCCTCTTCTGAGAACTATTATAAAGTATGCAATGCACATAAGTATTTATGACGAGTCTCCATACCCATATCCAACTTTTAAATACATATACCAATATCTTAAAATTTAGGTCTATGAAGATCTGAAATATAGACATGCACCGGCACCAGCACCGGCGCCCGATTTTTGTACTTGAGTTCATATATAGCATAGGTTTTGATCTGAAAATGATAATACTAGTGGTTGTGGGGAGGGGTTGGTGGTGGTGGTGATCATGACAATGAGCGTGGCTTGTAATAAGATTCTTGTTTAAAAAATGTTTTTCGCCTTTAAATAGCAAATAACATTTACCACCCAAATGAACACATATTCAGTTAATCCCGGAAAAACGTTTTCTGCTTTGTCTTTCGATTCGTCATACCAAATACCAAAAAATGTTGAAAACAAATATGCCCACATTCTATTGACTTCAATTGAAATCAACTGAGTCTAGCTAGCCATGTTATCAAATTGGGGCTTCAACATCATGGATTAGTGATGAGTATTTTTTCTGTGGATGAAACAGGGGACCTTCTGATTCAGGTAAGCCGGCCATTGTGTACAAATCGGAGAGGAGAAAGTTGCTACAAAATGAAGGTTATACAATCCATGGGAGCTCTGGGGATCAGTGGAGTGACTTGTTAGGGTTTGCAGTGGCCCAAAGATCTTTCAAACTGCCAAATCCAATGTATTACATTGCCTAAAACAAAAACAGGAAAACAATAGTAAAAAAAAAAATGGCAATTATGTACACTCCTGATCCTCGTAAATTATTGCTCTTTTTGGGTGATCTTGTCCTATTGTTTGTTGTCCAAGTTCTTTTCAATAATTCAATGGCTTATTATTCATGGCCACTTTTGGTGGCTTATCTTGTTAATCCTGCGTATCAGTGGACCTTGTAAATGTTTTTTTTTTGTTTTTGTTATCCTGATTGCCATTACAACAACTTAGTTAGCCCCAATTTTATTTATTTATTTATTTTAATAATTGGAGATGTTGGGATTTTCAAAATAAATCGAGTTTGCAGCACTTGATAAAAGGACCACACAAAATATTGCATTGAATACACACAAACCATAAGAATCATCCCCATATGTTTGCATAGGCATTGGTAATTTGGTGGTGCACTTTGCATGAGCTTATCGGCGTGAACACTTTCCTATCTAAGGTGGCTTGGTGCTTACGCAACAGCACAGTCAACACTCTGTGGGAGGGATATGGCGCAACCGTTGGCCAGGGAACTACCTTGTTGGGAGCGGTGCAATCACGATCGCATGTGTATAATCGTCACATCCATTTAAGGTGCAATTTGCATCATAGAAGCTTGATCCAGTGACCAGATCTGAATCTGGACTGATCACATCAAGAGGCATGATCCATCCAATTAGGAGCTTGGAGTTTTGTATAAAGGCTGAAATCTAGCCATTCAATTGTCTCTAGTTTTGATTTTTTGTTCAAGAGTTTTCTTAAATATTCGATTTACTGTCATTTTGCGTAAACAAAATACCTGACCCCCAATTTATGTGTTCTAATTTACGAATGTATTCTACTATGTCTATATTTGTGCAAACACAAATTGAAGATTCTTAGATCAAGTTTCGTTACATCTTAAAGAAGAATTTGCTATAGCATGGTGAGGATAAATGTTGTCTTTAAAAATAGGGATAATTACATTTTACTCTCTTATGGTTTCACGCGTTTACATATTATCTCCTTGACGTTTATAAATGTGTTCATAACTCTTTTGTGGTTTTAACTGATGCGCAAAAGTGACAGAATCTGGTAGACTTAACAGCGCGTGGGAAAGACGCGTCAGAGAAGTGTGTCTGCACTGGAATTGAATGTTTTGGCGCCAAAATTGGAGTTTTGAGTGACCAATTTGTCCTTCTACTTGCTCATATAACCATCAAGCCACCAAACCTACTATTTCCAGCAAAAAAAATTCTAGGACCATTTTCATTTTTGAAGATGTCATCCTCCCAGGGTTCCCGTTATAGTGGACAGAGCTTAGCTCGTACATGCTACTATGGCCAAAGATCTCGGTTGAGAACAGCTTGGACAAATGCAAATATAGGAAGAAGATTTATAGGATGTGCAAACTATGGGGTAATCACTTTCATTATTTGGTAATTAAGTAATTAATGTATTTATTTGTTATGTTATATAATATTTAAATATAAATCTAAACTCATTTATTAAAATTTTCAAATTCAAGCCACTTGTGAATATTTTGAGTGGATTGACCTACCATTGTGTCGTTGCTCGCGTGATCTCCTACCAAGACTCGTGCAACGAGTAAATTATATGGAGTTAGAAGTTGAAAAAGCTCAAAAAAAGAAAAAGTTGTATCAAAGAATGTTGCTAGGAGGCTGGATATTGTTTGTATGCTATATTGCATGTACTCTAAAATGAAAGCAAAAATAAAAAGTGTTATGTAACCTGATATGAGGAAGGAAGATATGTAATATTGAAGACTATTTTCAGATATAAAAGAAATATATTTTTGAAGTATTACAAAACTTGTTCAATACCAACACTTGAAGCATGTTCATTAAGCATCAACATATCAACATTTCACTCACAAAACCTACTAAATGTTCACCAACATTTCAACATTTGAATTACAAAACCTGTTATGTTCATCAACATTTCAATTATAAAACCTACTTAATGTTCATTAAGCATTAACATGTCATCATTTCACCAACATCTGATCAACATTTCAATTACAAAACATTTGACAAACAACATGTGCACCTATTTATTCTAATGTTGTAGCTATCCAAGAACATTGTTCTATCAATCCCAAGTAAGCCTTGCAAATATCAGCAAAACCAACATTTTAATTACAAAACCATTAGAACTACCAATATTGTGTTAGCTATCCAAAAAGATTGTTTTAGCAACCCCAAATAACGGGCCTTACAAAAATGACAAAAAATAACTTTTCAATCATCAGATAGGGCCACCTAAACCTAATCCCTCAAACCTTTTCCTCTATCCTTTGCATTCCTCTCAGGTATTGTAAATTCCCTTCCAAATTGGGGCACATGTCTAGCTGATGCACTTCCACTTGCACTTGCTCCACAAGGCATTGTTGGTTGTGGTTGAGTAGTGGCAGCTGGTTGGGATGAAGTGGGTGAGTACTGGCAGCTTGTTGGGATGAAACATGATGAATGACAGCTGGTTGGGGATGAAGATGAGTGTGTTGCAGCTTGTTGAGCATTTGAGAACTACAAGAAAAATACAAATTGAAATGCACAAAATGAAATAACTGAAATTGAAATGAATTTAGTTTGTATAGAAATAATGCATTACAATAAATTGAAATGTACCTTGCTTGGTTGACTTGTAGATTTCCTTGAATTGGGATTTTTTATGTACTGGACCTTTGCATGATCTTTTGTTGTGTCCAAAACCAATACACTTTGCATGTTGCACTGTTTTGTGTTTTCTTGAAAACTTATGTACATTCTTGGGCTCATCAGCAGCTTTCTTCCTCTCTTTTCTGGGCCTCCTGCTGGTTTTCTATAGTAAGAAGGGGCTATGGCATCATATTCAGTCTTAATCCATTCATGTTCCCTTGGCATATGATTCATCATAAAAGAATATGTCCTCAAGTATGTCTCATTGCTGAAGAAATTATGCACATAAGCTTTAGGTTTCTCCCCATTAAGGTATATACAACTTATGACATATTTACAAGGTATAGCTGTTAGGTCCCAATCTCTACACCCACATGTACTTGCCCTTAAATCCACTACATGAGTTGTATCAGAACAATGCACCTCAAACTTTAAGTCACCTACAAAGCTAACAAAACAATTCCTAACATCCTCTTTCTTTGACTCTAGTTTAGGTTGCACACTTATACAAATAAGGTCACCATATTTTTCTATTCCATTTTTCTTGACTTGTATTCTGTTCATCAGTTTTCTCCTAATCCACTCCACCATATTTTTCCATATAAGGCAACCACATTCAGATCCATATAATGGAATAACATATCAATTACATCCTTATTTGAATTCATCTCCCTAAGACTAATGTCCAATATTTCTCCAGGAACTCTTTAATATAGTTGGCTAGTAGAGGGATAATTCAAGTACAACTTCTGAAAATCAAAAAACCCAACCCTATCTGGATCAAAGTACTAAAAGTAATTCACTTTCCCTCCCTTATACACTATATTTGGAGGCTTAGTAAAGTAACCTCCGTAATGTAACTCAACACTAAAATCTATTGCCATCACCTCACCCTAAATAATACAAGACACAAAAGACAAAAATAATACATAAACAAATCAATGCCTAAACATTACAACATACAAAAGAAAAAAAGAAAAAAAAAATACATAAACAAATAAAAAACCTAACAATAATTTAGGCTTTAGGGTAAATAAACAAACATAAATCATCATACCCATTTTACAAATCAAACACAGTATATGCAATAAAGAAGACAAAAATGTAATTAACCCAATAAATAGACATATTATCTCCCAATACACAACAAACAGCTAGGGGACCACTATCAACCCCAAATCTGTAGCCATTTTTACATAAAAAAAAAAAAAAATCCCCAATTCATTATTCCAGATATACCTATCTTCATGTAGTGAAGTAAAAAAAATTGATGAAACACTTATACTCCACAACTTTATCGAAACACACAATACAAACTCTATCAAAAAGCTAACAAAAAAGCAACAACCTTAACATAAAGCTAACAAAAAGCCAACAAAAATATATCATATACAAAATCCTACCAATAAAGCCTTTTTTTTTTTTTTTTTTTTTTTATTCGCAAACATCAAACATCAAAGAAGTAATTTTCCAAATATATTATATGATAAATTTAAAAAATCGTAATCAAATCTTCAAATACTCACGCAAAACATCAAACATTCAATAAATTTAGGGTTTTTTGATCGTTACTTGGAGTAAAGCAGATTCTTTGTAGTCTCAATCGATTGTTACTGATCCGATTTGGAAATCCTTTCAAACCCTAACCTATGTGTATCTCTCTCTCTCACTCTCAAAATCGTAATCAAGCAATTGAAGAGATTGTAGCATGTAAGCACTATAAATATCTAAGGATATTCTAGTCTTTTCAATAATTTCGTCATATTCCGTCACTTTTGCACATCAGTCAAAACTACAAGGGGATTATGAGTACATTTATAAACATCAAAGAAGTAATGTGTAAACGCGTAAAATCACAGGAGATAAGATGTAATTATCCCTTGAAAATAACATTGTAACATGACTCAATGTGTTTCTAACAAACTAGTTTTATCAGAAGTTCATCGCCTACATCAACATTGAAAGTTTTTACATCAGAAAGAGATTTGTGTGACGTTTTTATTAAGACTAAATTATTGAGAAAGGATGGTTTATCTCACTAATTATTAGAGTATAAAATAAATAATAATATGATGTTTGAAACTTTGTTGAATAATTTAGGGCACAAATTGTTTTTGTATTGTTAATTAATTAATTAATTAATTTTTTTTTTTAATGATGTCTTGTAATTTGCAAAAGGTCATGTGACCCAGCAGAGGATATCTTTTGGTTTATTTTGTCTCTAAAGGTTTGTGTCACATGTCTTGACGCTAGGGTCCTGTCTTGTATCATTTTTGTTTTTTTGTTTTGTTTTTACCCTTTGAAATAGAGGTAAAATATGTTTGATAAATTATTTTGAGAAACTTATTGTATTTAAAGTAACTCATTTTTAGAAAATATAAAAAAAAAAAACAATGTTCTTGCAAAAGAGGAAAAAAAAGAAAAAAGAAAAAAGTGAATAATGAGTGTTTTAAATTTTTTTTTATTAATTTTATTTTTTAAAAACATGAAAAACGATTTTTTTTAATGAGAA